TCTGTGCGTCACTCCTCTCATCTGTAAACCGGGAGTCATTATTGTCCTTCTTCACGAGCTGTTGTGAAGAATAAATGAGCCAATACAGGAGAAGTACTTGAACAGGCACTTAGTAAGTTCTCCCTAATTGTGAGCGGGCACAATTAGCAGAGCAGAAAAACCCATCTGGAGACAGAAAGAAGGAAGCAAACAGGCAGAGAGGAGTGCATGTGAAAGGTTAGGATGCCCAGGAGAGATGGAGAGATGGAGAGATCCCACAAGGGGTGGCTCCAGTCCCCGGAGAAGCCAGATGCCCGCTGGTCTTTGTCTCCACGCGGCATCCCGGCATCTTTAGAGGTAACTCTTTTTTTTTTTTTCTTTTTGCCAAAGCCAGCCCAAGTGAATTTCTAAAATCTAAAGACAGAACATCTTACCTGAAACAATATTGGACTCTTCCACCACTCTGAGAAACAGAACACTTTTGGCAGATAGCAGCATTAAAGTGGTACTGAGGGGCGGGGGGGGGGGGGGGGGGGGGGGAGTCTGTGTTTAGGTAAAAGTGTAACCATTTAAGTATAAATCCCCCCTCTGATGGGAGCTCTTTGAGAAAGAGACCTGGGCTTGGAATTCAAACACCCAAGTGAGATTCGATTTATGGTTACCCCTGGAACCTTGGGAAAGACCCATCACTTCTCTAAGATCTCTTTCATTTTCTGCAAGACAGAGACAGTAAGTAAAAGCCCAGGCCCCAGGGACTCCAGCGTGCTCACTGAGGTTGATGATGAAGTAAATGACAGGTCTGACCAGAACTTTGCCAAGTTCAAGGGAAAGACAAAAGCATACACTTCTGGTGCTCACTGGACCCTCATAATAGCCCTCGAGGTAGGTACTAACATCCTTATTTTGTAGATGAAGAAATGAGGCCCCTTCGCCTGAGTTGAGAAATCACCATTTAACTCTGGACACGTGTGAGCCAGGGGCGTATGCTTTTAACCTCACAGGGCACAACTTAGTGCAGTTTACGCCGGTTAGTGGCTAACGTGGGACTCTGTCCCTTGAGATTTGTTGATCTGGGCAAGACTCTCACCTGAAATATCTCATAAATGGATGAAATCTGGTTCCCCCACTTGAGTGGAGCTATGAACTGGTCACATGTATTCACAGAGATTCACAACTTCAGCTATCCCCCAAAGCTATTTGCGTTGTTGCATATTTGAAAACAGGTAAGGCTTCCTTAAAGAAACTTGCGGCCACCAGTATTAATATCTGTTTCCTTTCTAGCAATGGGCACAAGTGGTCCAAAGCCTGATGGAAAGGCTGTGGGGGCTAGGGACAGAAGAAAGCTTTTCTGAGTTGTAAAATGCTTTATTGCACATCCACAGGGTGAATAAGAAAGACACCACCGGAATTTCTGAATTCTCTCTCCTTATAGCCAAATTTCATTCCTTCTTACCTAGAAAGCAACCAAGAAAGGTTCTATTTGGCAGTTATTGCCATATGTTATTTTCAATAGAAAGTTTAGCAAAGGGGTAAACTTTAGGCATGATCGCTTAACCTTTGATGGACTGTCTTGTATGATGTGCAGATTTTGTTTCTTTAAGATGTGTGTTCTTTTTTCACACAGACTTCCTCCCCAGTTGTAACAGGTGGGAAAGAAGCAGTAAGTATATCCCTAAATTATGGAGCCTTGGTTTGGTCACTTACAAGAAGGAAATAATAACGTTCCAGCCATTTCCTACCTTTGTCTTAAAGATTAAAGTTCGATACGTCACCAAGCACAGAAGGCGGCTCAACAATTATCCTTATGACCAACTCAGCTTAAAAATGAAGGAGAGCATGCAAAAGTCACAGACTTTGTTAAGCGGGAAAAAGCTGGACACGAAAGAGTAGATACGTTTCATGTGCATCTAGATGATGCGGGCAAACAGAAGCAAAACTAACGTATGGTGATGGATTTCAGGATAGTGGTTACACATGCTGGGAGTATGGGGCGGCTTCAGGGCTTCCGGCAATGTTTTGTGTTTTCATCTGGGTGCTGGTTACCTGTGTGAGATCATCATGCGAAAAGTCATCCAGCTATATATTTATGATTTATATAGTTTCCTGTATGTACGTTATATATGAGAGCTGAGCGTTTATAGGGATTCTGCAGATCATCTTTGATATTTCCAGATAATCTATAAATCTGAAAACTTATGTGGATACAAGGATGGCTGTTTCCACTCAGACTGAAGCAAAATGGACATTTGAAAATTAATTGCTTAATGCATATACTGTAAATGAATTTAAAACTTCACGTCCGAATGATGTGGAATATAACTTTTCACTTTTTGCCACATTGATAGGTTAAACTAGTATCTAATAGCTGCTTTGAATTGTTTCTCAGCTTTTGCTATGTTGATGAGACAGAATGGCCTGTTCATATCCTTTGCCCATTTTCCTACCTGATTTTCACCCCTTTTCCATTGGTTTAAACCGTGTAAATTCAGTCCACGAGTCATTTGTCACGGATGTTGCAAACATTTTTTCACAGTATTTTATTACCCATTGATCTCGTATATGACACTGAAATCGTGTATGACACTGCCCTTCTCTCTTTTGCCAGGACTGTGGGCCTTCTCTTGGGTTAGCAGCCGGCATCCCATCCCTGGTGGCCGCAGCCCTGCTGGTGGCTTTACTGTTTATACTGATTCGCCGAAGAAGCAGCAGCAAGGAGTCTGCCGAGGTGATCAGCAGCTTCTTTGGTTCTAGATGTTGTAGCAGGAATCAGTATTTCAGTGAACTGGCTTCGGGCTGAGGGTGTCAGAATCCAAATCTGTGTTCTGGGGACACGATGGTGAACGTTCCTGTCCCTCCATTTCTATCGCAGACTGAAGACAGTACGCTCCAGGCAGAGCTGATGTGTCACACAACCTTCGCTTCAGGAAATCTGTGGCAACAAGCATGGTGTCTGGGGTGGCAAAAAGTGGCAGTGGAGGGGGACGTGTGTTGCCATGGCAAACGCACGTCTGTACCGTGGGTGTGTTCTCTAAAGTCGAGAACCAAAAGGGCGCGGGCTTCATAAAGAGAGTGGAAATAATCTCAGGAAAGATAGGAGGTGAACAGGTGCCGACACGTCTATGGTGAGGACATGTCCACAGGCATGCGGCTCTGTTGCCCTTTGCCCTTTTTCTACATCTGAGCACACATCAGTCACAAGGGAATCTACCAACTCCACCCCTCCAAATGCCGGATTGCTCTGGAGACCGTGCTCAGAAGTCAAAGGCCCCCCCAGACCACTATCCAAGAAGCTTCCGTGGTTATAATACAACGGTGTCGTGTGGACTCTGGGTTCTAATTCCGTCCTCTATTTATGAACAGTCCTGGTTGTTCTCCTATTAATAAACATTAACGTGAGATAGACAATCGAGGCTCTATCCCGGGCTCTGCTACTTTATGAGTTATATGATCCTGAACAAGAGCCTCCACATTTTCTGTGCCTTGGTTCACTCTATTCCAAAATAGGGGTCAGAAAAACTGCCCTCCCTATTTTAAGAGGTAGGCAAAGTTGTCAAGATGCACTAGGATTATGGTTGTAAAGATGTGTTGACAAGCTGTAAACTTTAAACATATTAAGACATATTATGGTTGTTGGTGGTGTTGTTAATATTTAAATCATAGCTTCTTCAATGCACTTTAAAATCATCTAGGAGGCTACAAAAATACCAATCACCAAAACCGATTAAATTAGCACCTCTGGACAATAGAGCTACGGCATGGAGAATTTTAAATATATACTAAGGTAAAGAAAATGGTATAATGAACTCAATTATCAAAACGTGGCCTATCTTGTTTGACCTCTGCTCCCACCCACTTCTCCCCACTGTCAACCTGGGATTCTTTTCGAAGTAACTTACAATGATATTTCTCATTTATGGAATTTTTGAGGGGGTGGTTATTATCTGTTTGCTTACTTTGTTTTGTTTTTAAAGCTTTCTGATGATTCTTATGTGCATGCAGGTTTAAGAACCATTGGTTTTAATCATGGTCAGGGGCGAATGCTGGGATCCTTCATTTATTCTTTCCTTTTAAATGTATTTTTACCAACTTAGGAAAGTGAGAGGCCATGTGAAATTTCAGAAATCTATGACAATCCCAAGATTGCTGAGGTAAGAACTCTTGTTTAAAATCACTGTAGATCATTGATACAGTAAGCAAGCTAAGGGTTTTTAAGCCGTCCACCTACAGGAGAAGTACCGTGTGAGCACGTGTGGAAAAGAGGTGGCCCAGGGAAGCTCAGGCACAAAGGAGGTTCTCACTGTGTGTTTATTGGCTGGACAGGAATTCAGGGTTGATTGAATATTAGAAAGCCAATTTAGGGACACCTGGGCGGCTCAGTTAGGTGTCTGACTCTTGATCTCAGCTCAGGTCATGATCTCACAGTTTGTGACGTCGAGCTCTGCGTCGGGCACTGCACTGACAGCAAGGAGCCTGCGTGGGATTCTCTCTCTCTCTCTCTCTCTCTCTCTCTTTCTTGCTCTCTTAGCCCCTCCCCCACTCATGCTCACACACTCTCTCAAAACAAACTTTAAAAAAAGAAAATGAGTATTATTTATTTCACTGACAAATTGAAAGAGAAAAATTGTGTGACCATCTCAACAGAAGACAGTCCAAATAAATTAAACAGCCATTTGTGATGTGAACTCTTAGCCACCTGAAACTAGAATAGGAACTTCCTTAACCTGAAAGAAGACATCTTTTTACAAATTTACAGCAAACATCATATCTAAAGGTTAAATATTAATGAATTCTCTTTAAGATTGGAAACAAAACAAGGATGATCTATTCAATACTGAATTCTATTCAGTACTATACTTTAGGTCCTAGTCAATGCAGTAGGATAAGAAAAAGAAGTAGAGGGGCGCCTGGGTGGCTCAGTCGGTTGAGCGTCCGACTTCAGCTCAGGTCGTGATCTCGTGGTTCATGAGTTCGAGCCCACGTCGGGCTCTGGTGCTGACAGCTTGGAGCCTGGAGCCTGCTTCAGATTCTGTGTCCCCCTTTCTCTTGCCCCACCCCGGCTTGTCCTCTCTCTCTTTCAAAAATGAATAAACATTAAAAAAAAAAGAAGTAGAAATTAACTTGAGAGGGGGAGATTCTTTCACAACGTGTACATATATCGAATAATTACATCATACTCCTTAAACATCTTACAATTTTGTTTGTCAATTATATCTCAATAAATACTAAAAAGGAAATAGAATAAGGAAGAAAAAGAAGTAGAAATTGTAAGACTGGAAAAGAAGAAACAGAATGTCATTATTTCCAGATGATATGATTATCTACATAGAAAAGCCGAAGTGGGGCGCCTGGGTGGCGCAGTCGGTTAAGCGTCCGACTTCAGCCAGGTCACGATCTCGCAGTCCGGGAGTTCGAGCCCCGCGTCAGGCTCTGGGCTGATGGCTCAGAGCCTGGAGCCTGTTTCCGATTCTGTGTCTCCCTCTCTCTCTGCTCCTCCCCCGTTCATGCTCTGTCTCTCTCTGTCCCAAAAATAAATAAATGTTGAAAAAAAAAAAAAAAAAGAAAAGCCGAAGTATCTACAGATAAATTATTAGAATTAAGGAAAGACTTTAACAAGTTACCTGGATATGAGATCAATATACAAAAGCAATTTGCATTTCTAAAAATCATTAACAACCAATGGAAAAAGTAATTTTTAAAAATGCCATTTTGTAGAGGTATTAAAAATATGTAGACTGCTAAGGAATAAATCTAACAAAAACTGGAACCCCTTTATGGGGAATAATAAAACTTCAGTAAAAGGTATGAAATAGGACCTAAATAATGGGAGTTACATACCATGCTTCTGGATAGAAAGACTCAAGAGGTAAAGATGTCAAACAACCTCAAATCAATCTATACGATAAATATGGATTCCAATATAAATCCCAACAGATTTTTTTTACAGGGAACTCAATAAAAGCCTACTAAAATCTGTATGGAAGAAGGCAGGGGAAAATTTTTAAATAGCAATGAATGGACAGAGTGAAGAGAAAACAAATAGGAAGATGGTACATTTAAACTCAACCACATCAGTGAGTTCACTAAATGTAAATGGTATAGGGACACCTGGGTGGCTCAGTTGGTTGACTCTTGATTTTGTCCCGGGTCATGATCCCAGGGTCTTGAGATCAAGCCCTTCATTGGGCTCTACACTGAGCATGGAGCCTGCTTGAGATTCTCTGCCGCCCCCCTCTCTCCCTCCCTCCCTCTACCCCTCTCCCCTTCTTACACTCTCTTCCTCTCTCTCTCTCTCTCTAAAATAAAAAGATCTGCAAAATATTTTTAAAAATGTAAATAGTCTAAATATCCCAATTAAAAGGCAGGGATATAAAAATCAAAATTTACATCAGATTGAATATAAAAACAAGACCCAACCAAATACTGGCTGGAAAAACTCAATTTAAATATAAAGACACTAATAAATTAAAGGTGAAAGGAATGAAAAAGAAATACCATGCTAACATGAAACAAAAGAGAGTGGAGTGGCCAGAAAAAAACCTGCCAAGGCACTAAACTTGGCAATTATAGGCCTCTCCTCATTTGTTTTCTGTCTCTCAAGGATCACATCCTTTCTTGCCTGATGTCCAGCGTCTTGAAAACTTGTTTTAAATGTTTTTTCAGACTTCTGGTTGTTCAGGTGGGAGGGTAAATCTGGTTGCTGTTTGGCCAGAAGCAGAGGTCTTTCTTTGCTCTATTTTTGAAAACCCTGTTTGTTTTCTCAAGAATCCTAGGAGGTCACCCACACATGAGAAGAATATTACAGGAGCAGAAGAAGCCCACGTCTATGTGAGGACTGTAGCAGGAAGTGAGGAACCCATGCATGACACTTACCGTCCTACTGTTGAAACGGAGAGAAGACGGGGATTGTGGTGGCTTATGCCCAGACTGAGTCTGGAATGACGCATTTCAGTCAAGGAGAAGATATGGAGCTGGAACAGAGCTGAAAACCCGTGGATTTTTGCTCGGAATGAGGAGAGATGCCAAGCTGCTTCTTAACCTATCTAAATTTCATGTGTAGATCTGGAAAACTTTCAGGTTGGTTTGTCTCTGTAGGTGACAGAGCTAGAGGTTCATCCAACACTCGGATCTTGTTGTTTAATAAGCAGTGAAGCACCAAGTGAGGTCCAGAAGGAGCCCTTTGATCCTATTCCTGACCTATGCTTTTCTTTTCTTTATGATTTTGGGGAAGGGACTTGATTTCTGTGTGTTTTGCCTTATGTTTTTTCACATCTCTTTTCTCAAAAAAAAAAAAAAAAATCATCAGACCTGGCTTCTGTGGGAAGGTTGGCCAAGGTCAGCATGGTGCAAGCTGGGATATAAATAAAACTTAAATTGGATTATGAGGGGAAGCAGTTTTCTTATTTCTGAACATCTCAAGGTAGAAATCCTGTGGAGCCATATGTTCCCTGACTACAGGGGTAGCACATGCTCCCATTTGTGTCTGTGCTCAAAGAGTATTTAAGGAAGGCAATTCTGCAGTAGACTCTCTCTCCCTCTGTGTGTGTGTGTGTGTGTGTGTGTGTGTGTGTGTGTGTGTGTTGAGGGCAAATAGGGTGGAGTGAAGGCAAAGGTCTTTCCAGGAGATTAGAAATGAGGGCCATATCCATTTTGTGAGAATGGAGAGAAAGGCTCACGTCCTTGGACTTGTGTGGGGAAAAACTCACTGGCAGGAAGAGAGGGCAAGAGGACTCTGGATGAACACAGGACCAAAGGGATGGGCTAAGCAGCCATTTTTTTGCCATCTGAGGAAAGCCTGAAGACACACCAGCTGGCTCAGGCCAGGACTTCAACATTGCTTCTGTGATGGAGCTTCCAGGAGTCCTGGTTCTGCCATGAGGGGCCATTGCTGGTGAACAGGCAGGGTCTCCTAATGGGAGAGCCTGAGTCCACGGCATCTCAGGATCCATCCACCAATTCCACTCTGATATGTTGTGGAGACATTTCTTTCTCACCCTAGGGCCTCTGATTGCTCAGAAACATGACCCTCTTCTTCAAATAACTAAGAACAGGTTCTACAAACCCAGTTACTGCCAACGCCAGCATGTGCTTTCAAAGCTGCCTCTCTTACCTGGGGAGTGTCCCAAGACGAAAAGACCAAGAAAGAGTATCTCCCTGAGACGAAAAGGGCCACTAAGATCCAGAGAGAGACTCAGAGATAGAAAATAGGGGATATATTCCTTTGACGTTTAAGAAGTTGTACTTCTGAATGAAAGCAGTCGGAATACATCTCGTGTGTGGCCTTGTGCTGGGTGCCCAGGGAAGCAGCTCCATGGTTGAGAGAAGGAGCAGACAATGGCTTGAACAAAGTGAATTAGTACCCCCTCCTCCAGAAGGGACCCAGAACCCCCTCCAGAATCTTCTGTCCTCAAGATAAATCTTAAACTCTTCACTCTTTCATTTCGTCACATTTTTGTTTAGAATATTTTATAGCGTTTGAGTGAAAAAGAAGACTCCACCGTCTTGATTCCTCCTATTTTTATTGCAAATATATAGTATTTCAGCTACACTATGGGCTTTGATGAGCTATGCTGGAAATGAGCCACCAATTACAACAACATTTCTATGGAAAAATGCATTGTGAAATCTAAGCAACAGTCATACAAACGGCCTATTAGACCCTAACCCATTACCAAGTGGCGGTGCCTTATCATGTTTCCAAAACTATTTCTAAAAGCAATCTGCATTTCAATAAGGCTTAAAGAATCTCATATTTTCTTAAGGCATCTTTACTATAATATGAAGCAGAATTTATTTAACCCGAAAAAAAAACCTGAAAAAAAGGTGACAACTTTTTTTAGGCATTTCTTTCCCACGGTTCAATGTAATCCAATCCCAGATGTGCAAAAATTTCTTCTTCACTTTCTGCTTTGAGAAATACTTTCTGAAAGCATAAAAATAAATATGTGCATTCAGATATTTTTCAACATCTCGATCCTGACATAGTGAAAGTTTTACTTTGTAAATTGTCTTGGCAGAGTGGGTTATTACCAAAACATAATTCCCTGCTTCTGAGTATAAAAAATCATCTGAACTAACTTCTTTTTTTTTTAAAATATTGACTGGCTTCTGTAATTTTATTATTTTCCTGCCCCCAAAACATGGTATCTGATAAATTAACAAAATTACAACGGCCTTACATATTTAGCTAAAGGCATTTGGTATTTTTCCAATGGGTCTGTAGTTCTTAACCACAGTTCTTCATTAGAACCACCTAAAGGAACTTAACAACAACAACAAAAAAACCCAAAAAACTTTGAAGCCTGAATGACACCCCAGTTCAATGAAATCAGAATCTCAGGAGAGGTCCTGTCACCAGTCTTTGTAAAGGCTCTGGGTAAGTCTCATGGGCAGCCAGAATTATGTACTCCTGCTCCAAGTAACGAGAGGCAATTATGGGATACTTGTATATGTTGGGTTCTCCTTCTGACCTTCCTCACCTGCCCGCCTCCACCCCCACCCCAGGCTCCCACTCCATGATCTCTTTTAGACCAAGCACCACTTCTCCCTCATCCCCTTCTTGCCTATAGCACAGTGTTGGACCCTTAAGACACACTCAGTTATGTTAAACTATTTAGTATGTGTTAATTTGTAAGCATTCCTACGCTGTGTTATGTGACTCTGCCTCCACTCACATGCTTGACATCTATGGCCCTTTCCTCTGACAGCAGTACCTTGATTTTCCTTTGAGAAACCACCCTTCCCTACTCTCAGTCTGTGAGGATCAGGTGGGGCTAATTCCATCTCCAAGGAGGGCCACACGATCAAAGCCTGGCCAATCAGAGCCATAAGGGATGGGCACATGACCCAGGCCTGGCCAATGAACATCAACTAGGACTCTTGCTAGAACTATCAGGAAAGAGGCTCTTCTCTGTTAAGTTGGACGGATGGGAATCATGGGAAAACCATGCCTGAGGTTGAAACCAACACTGAGGAAAACCTGCAATCAGCACCTGGATACAGACATACCTGAAATCAGTATTACCCCCAGATGCTTCAGTATATAAGCCAAGTATACTTTTTTTGCTATGCCACCTTGGACTGGGTTTCTGACACCTGTAACTGAGACAGCTCTAATCAAATACAGCGCATTTAGGCTGTGAGCTCTTAGAGGGTAAAGATAACTTCTGGTTATTTTATGTCTTATTCCCCTCAGAGCTTAGTTTAATGTCCTTGACCCCTGGGAGAACAGCAGACCTTGGCATGTAGATTTAACAGATGAATATTTAACTCTTCATAATTCATGCAGTAATTTATCCTTTTGCCGAGGCATGAATTTGGATCCTGATCAGTGCCAAGTGCAGCACACCAAGTGAGTTACACAGCTGGTGAGGGAGCCTCACTGATTGCTCATCTACATCTCAGGGAAGTTCTGTGGCTCTTCCTCTTGCAGTATGCTCTCATTAATGACCCAAGTGGTCACTCAAAATGCAACTGCCCACGCATTTAAGGGGTACTTGAGTGGTATTTGTGATTTGGGGAATCCTTAGTTTTCTTTGGACTTATTCACTCCAAATACCAAAGATATATCAAACACAATTAATGTTCACGCTGGACTGGTTCTAAAGACCCAACAAGCTCATCATCTTTGAGCCCAAAGCCCTTGAGGTATATTCTGGGCCAGGTGGGGACCGTGCTCCCATCAGGGTCTTTCCAGCTGCCCTCAACTGTGATCTGTGGGAACAGGACACTCAGGGCAAACATCAGTTCAGGAAAAGTGCTCAGGGAGCCAGCCATAGGGATGAGGATCAGAGCAGCCCACCTTGGGGAGACAACTCTACCTTGGTCTTGTCGTATAAAGCATGGTTATCCAGGATCATCTTCCGCTCATGCGTGGCGTACCGCCGGAGGTCTCTCTCAAACTGCTGGACGAGATATAATTAAAATAAATTACTATTAAGTTTAGAATGTCTTCAGTATTACGCGTTTAGAGATATCTAAGTCCCTATAATGA